AAGCAGATGGAGAAAACTACACACCTGTAAACATGGGTTTCTTTTCAAGGAAAAGTAAAGATTATTTTTAGGGTGTAATGAAGATTACAGAGGATAGAGCCAAGAAGCATGAAGAATTTATTTTCTGGCCTTGAGTCCTAATGAAGGAAATGCCAGCCTTGTACAGTATCAAAATTTCTGTGAACCTGTAACTCCTGTGTACCTTATGTTTCTCCTGACACTGGCCCAGAGTGTTTATACTGATTATGATACACCTGCCCCTGCGTTGTATATTGTGACCAGGCTGGGGATAGGTAACTTATTTTTAGTTTACTGTCAATCATCTTGAGAGGAGGTATACCCAGGGGCTATACTTAAGAAATCACTCCCAAGCAACCTCAGGTACACCTGGATCTTACTTAGATAATGAGATTCTGAACTTTGATCTTACCTTCTAAAGGGTTGAAAATTCTGGGGCTTTGGGTAGGAATTAGTGAATTTTGTTACATTGACAAGATATGAATCACTGGGGTTCAGAGTGAAAGGTAGAAGCTAACCCTGGAATATGCCCCCTGTTTTTACCTGGTATTTATGTTCTTGTGTAGTCTTCTCTACATTAGGAGCTGACCTTTGTAACCAATAGAATATAGAGGAAATGATGGACTGTGACTCCAAAAGCTACAGTATACTTCTGTCTTGCTCTTTCTTGGATTTGTCAGATAATCATATGGAGATGTCCATTTGGTAAAGAACTGAGGCTTCCTGGAAACAACTAGCTGTGATGTGACGACCATATGAGTGAGCTCCAGCTCTAGGAAAGTCTGTAGATGACTGCACTCTGTTTTTTGTTTTTTTGAGACAGGTTCTCACTATGTAGTTGAGACTGACCTGGAACTCACTATGTAGCCCAGGCTGGTCTTGAACTCACAGCGATCCTCCTGTCTCCGCCTCCCGAGTGCTGGGATTATAGGTGTGTACCACCACACCCGGCAATGACTGCACTCTGGACTGACATGACTACAACCTGATGAGAATCCTTCAAGTCAGAGCCATCTAATGAAGGCCACTTTCTTGTTCCTGACACTCCTGGTGCTGTAAGCAGCTAAGTTTTGGGATAACTTGTATGCAGCAGTAGAAAGTTTATAGATCTACTACAGTGAACTAATGCAAACCTGAGAACCTTTGTAGATTTTTTGACTTCCTCATCCTATCTTTAGTTTTTAGTAAGCATTGCAGTTTATTTAATCAGTGGAAAGGTGGGCCCGGGACTTAGCTCAGTGGTTCTACTGCCTGCCTTGCAAGCACAAGGACCCAAGTCCCAAGTTCAATCCCCAGTAACAAACAAACAAACAAACAAACAAACAAAAGCCCTCACACAGTGGAAAGGTAGTTTGAAAGAGTATGGAAATCTTAAGCTATCTACTTTTTCTGTTTCTATTTCTTTTATAGTCATAAAATCTTTCAGTGTAAAGGATCAGTTAGCTACCTTTAAGTTTTGTCATTAAAATATTTATTTATTTATTTTTTTTGAGAAGCCACTCTTGATCTGGAAAGTATTGGGATTGTACATGTTTAAAGCAGGCTTTTGACATAAAGTATTTTATGGAACTTGGGCTATGAAATATTTGTGTGATGGATTGGGTCAGGGTTGGCCTCCCTCCCCTTGCAGAGAGTAATGTTTGCTGTTGATAACAGGTAACAGGATACAGATCCACACACTGTACACTGGCCGTACAGATGAGGAAGATGGGACCAGAGGGTTAACTAATCTTTCCAAAGCAATAGTTGGTGGCTGGGCTAACTTGGAGTCTGGCTAGTAGTTTAGATGGCTTCAATTTGTCTTTTATCTTTGGTCATTTCAAGTCAAAATGATTCCATTAAATGCTTTCCTTTTATTGTGTTGATGGGATGTGGCTTCTTGATGTTTAAGCAGACATGAAAATTTTATTTTATAATTTTGTATATCCCTTCGGGCAACTTGCTGTCTGGATCCTCTGAAATTGAAAAAAAATAAATTTACAGTGGGCTTAAATCCAGTGAGCCTTATACAGATTACAATTCTTTTTTTTTTTTTTAATAGTAGGAAAAATTTATTGAGAGAAAGAAAGCTTGTGTGTAACAGAGACAGAAGGGGGAATGGAAAGTGGGTTGCCTGCTCACCGCACTTCTCCGAGATGTTTTATATAACAAAGCCATGATTTGAAGCCAGTAGAAAGTCGTACAAAATTATAAGACCCAATGGAAAATTATAAGGTGGGGCAAAACCATGACCAACCAATAAGATTACAAGTCCAGTCACCCAAGTAATATTGATTAAGTGGGGGTCAAATGGGGGAGCAAGTCATGTAGCAAGCATACAAAGATTTTCAGTAAGGGTGGGGGGTCAAGGATATTTCCTGGAAAGCCTGGGTTAAGACCTTGGCCCCTCACACAGGTGCAGGTGTTTGAAACCTATTTAGAATATCAGTCACTGCTATTTATCCCCAGGGGACCCACAAAGGTATAGTGGTTTCTCTCCTTTTACAATTCTGGCCTTCAGTGAATGTGTCCTGACTGTCCTCCATATTGGCTCCTTGAGGATGGCCTTGACTTAACTACCTACAAGATATCTAATTAACTTACCTAACTGCAATATTCCCCCCTCTGAAGAAGTACCCCTAACTGCTGTGAGGGGTCAAAAGGCAAATATAGCTCTGGCTACTTCCAGCTGAAGAGGGTGGTAGTTGTGATCAGCATTAGAGTTACTCTACGGAGGGTCTATCTAAAGGCCTTTAGTGGGAGATTACAATTCTGATCTTATTACTAATTGTTCCTGCCACATAGCCCATGTGTAGGTTTATTTCCAAAGTCTTTTGCTTTAAAATTGAGTGCATTGAACTGTGTGAAAGATATTCTGCTTTTTGGTTAATATGAAGGCTTTACATAAGACTACAATTGAGTTATAGTTATTTTTTCTTGACCTTTGTCTCTGATTAAGTATGGTCACTTTAGATTTTAAGTGTTTTCTCTCTAAATACTCAGATAAGTTTTGTGGAATGTGTGGCTTTGTTCTTATCATATGTGCATATAGTTAACTAGATAAATGCTGTTGTGTTTCTATGAAGTATGTGAAGAATTGCTTTGACTCTCAGCTGCAAAAGTTTTAAAGTCAACGTTACTGTTTTGAGTTTTACTTTGCTTTAATGCTTCATAATAATTTAGTCTTGCAGGACTGGAGATTGAACCCATGGCTTTAAGCACGGTATGCAAGTCTTCTAACACTGAGCTGTACCCTGGCTCAGCACTTTATAATTCTTTAAACATTCAGAGCCAAATTGAGTCGATAGAAAGACTTCTACTAGTTTACTTTTCATTTTTTGATGTGAAATTTTCTTCCTATAGAATTTGGAGTATTGGCACACCAAATTTTTTTGTGTGTAATTTGTTCCTCAAGGAGCCAGTTTTTAGAACCATTCATTTATATCATCTAGCAAATACAGATAGTAGGTTTTAGAAATTATGAATTTAACAATAAAATGATCCTTTTGTTTTTCCTGGAATTTTACCAATAAATTATTTCTTCTTTTTCTGCATAAAGTCACATGAAATGTCTCTCATTCAGGTGCTTGACTTTTGGCTTCTTTAATCCTTGAGGCCATCTTATGTTAAATGATTTATGGATTTCAGATTCTAACTAGGTAATCCACTCTGTCTTTTATTGACAGCACCCTGGAACAAGCTCTCTTTTGCAAATAGTAATTTTTTTGTTAAATGTCCCTCTGCTCCCTACCAGTCCATGTTACCTTTCTCTGTCACACCTTCTTTTGCACTTTCTGGAGTCCCCTCACTCTCTATGAACAAAAGCTGACCATTTTGCTCCTTCATCTCTCTCCTTTTTCTAATCATTCCTTTCCTTTTTCCCTTCCTGTGGGATGGGCTGGCTGAAGCGGGAAAGAGTAAGTGCTTTCTCCCAGTGGCAGCTTGTCTTCTGCTCTGTGAAAGTTGACCCGTGGGGAGGAGGTGAAGTCTCCCGAGGCTCATACCTGAGGTGGGTTGCCAGCATGCTTAGGCGACAAACATGTGTTGGCACGTAAGGAGGACGTTGCTTTGCCTGAGAACCTCAGCAACGCAAAGTGGATAGCCTGCGTTGTCTTCACAAATTCAGCCCTATCAGGTGCTTTAAGTAGTAAAAATGAAGCCTAAGTTGATTCCAGTAACCAAATGTGTGTGATTGAAGTGCAGCTGACTGTAAAATAGGATAGATAGTGGTCCTTGTTTGTGCAGCAGTCTACATTAATGGAAAACATTGGTTGGTAAATGAAGGACTGGGTTTTGAAATTAGATACAAGGGCAGCTTTTTAGGAGGAGGGTAGATTTTTCTTTTCGTTTTTGGGGAGGGGCAGACCATGAGACAGGTGCAGGGAGTGAATAACATACCACTCCTAAACCCTGCGGCTTAGCCAATGAGCACCAGCCTTCTCCGAGGTCTATAGAATGGTTTCCCTGTCCGACAAGAGCTGGCTCAGCAACCAAACCCAGATTCCAGGTGTGGTATTCCACAGTCGTTCTGTAATTTGTAATCATAGAAACAGAATGTTCCTCCTCTTATTTCTTCCCTGCCAACAGTTTCTGGGTGGGTGAATGTCAGTAGCTGGAGTTATTTTTAAAGAGGAGAGGTGAGGCTTGTCGTGCGAAGCTGGGAAGAGGGCGTTTGTTTGCAGAGCAGAGCTGACATCAAAGTGTAGATTACTGCTCAGTGGCTGGACGCTTGTCCTATAACAGGTAATGTTTAACGTGCCAGTCACAAAGATCACAGAAACAGGGTATGCTTGGGCACAAGTTCGCACTACCTTTTATGCTGTGGAGACTGAGAGGCTCTGTGTGCCTACATATTTTTTTTTTAATATACATATGCATTGGTCTTGCGACCGCCTCTTTCACTGGCTGTAATTGGACTTTGAATCTGGAAAGTTATATCATAAAAATTTTTAACCTCTGAGAGTGAGCTTAGCTAAGCAACCACTTTCCAATTCTTTTCACAGGATAATGTAAACGTTTTTTTGAAAGCTTGTGAACAGATTGGATTGAAAGAAGCCCAGCTTTTCCATCCTGGGGACCTACAGGATTTATCGAATCGAGTCACTGTCAAGTAAGTTTCACTGGTTAAGTATATGTTTAAACTCCAGGCTTGCTGCTTTATGTGAAAATAACTGCTGAGAGTTTTTGATTACTGAAAAACCATTCATCTCTGTGTCTTTGTCTGTTCTCATTCCAAAATAGACTATTTAAAAAATGGCTTAAGGTTTGTGAATGTGAAGCTGTCTGAAATTGATAATGTGTCTTAAATCTCTGTACTGAACAAAATGGTAGTTTATATTTTAATGCTTGTCCAGTGTGGTAGTGTTTGGTTGCTCATGATAAGGATAGTCTTGTACTTATAAAGTTTGTAAAGTACTTATGAAGTATAATTTACAGGCTGAAAATAACTCTTTAAAAGCAATTTTACTATATTTATAGTTAAGATATAATTGTTAACATAAAAATTAGTAAAAGAGTAGTAAAAGAGACTTTGTTAATATTTAGGAGATAGAAATTCAGCATGTAATGCCCATGACCTTGTCAGTTGTGATTGCTTTTTTTTAAAAAAATGTGTTTTCCACTATTTTAATATTTGGCCAAGAAAGCAAAAGTAGGGATGAAAACAGGTATGGTGTTGGATTTTAAGAGGAAAATAGTATTCATGTGTGAGTATATAGTTTCAGAAAATCTGGGTTTAATTTTTTATGAGTTTTTTTCCCCCTATAAATCTACTTTGCTTTCAGGAAATCAGTAATGAAGTCAAATTGCCAGATAAAATGTGACAGCAAAATGATAATTTTATAATGATGACAACTTCCTTGTGGGGGTTTAACACCTAATTAAAATTATCCGAGTAAGAAAACATATACTTTATTCTATGAAAATAATAGAAACGAAAAAATTGGTGTTTACTAATTCACATAAAGATTTAGTTTATGTGGTTAATGTCTCTGGTAGTAACTTCAATCACTATTAAAAATTGACTCTAACAACTTACATATAGCCGTTACTGTATGAAGAAAAATAATGATAAATATCTTAGTATACATTGTCTTTTAACAGTACAACCTTAACTTTTAGTTTTTTTTAAAACAATCTAACATGTATTTTTTAAGATGAGCAAACTATTTCAAACCTACCTGTATAATTCTAGTGAACATTTTCCTTAATCCACAGCAGTGATATGTGCATGTGTCAGCATTGCTGATATACTTATAGCTGAGTGATCCTAAGTTCCATCACTAAAATGTTCTGTAGTATGTGAGGCTGTATTTCATTTTCATGAAAAATAAAAATTTAAATGAATTTGTTTCTCTTAATCAACTTGTTCTGATGGTCAAAGAAACTTTAGATTTGAAAGTCTTTTTTTTTCTTCAGTTGTTGATTAAGTGTAAATGTACTTCCTTCTAACATCATATTGTTTTGAAACTCTGCAGCCTGTAGTTGAGTAGGCTAGACTAGGTGAAACTTGTTTGTTGGCTCCTTACTCCAAGGGTGTATGTATAAAGTTTGCCTGGAGCCTATTTCAGGGGCCTTTGGGTCTAAAATGGTTAAGGAAAATCAGTATGAGGGCTCAGCCATTAGTGAAATGGCACGACTGACAAAGTGAAACCAGGAGGTCACGTATTACAGCAGTAGTAAGTATGCAGAACAACTTGTTTCAGGGGAAACCACAAGTCTATCAAAGCAAGGTGTGCCTTAGTCTTTCCAGTGAGTGTGGCCAAGTGAGGACTTTGGCTTTGCTTGAGAATGTTTCCCTGATAAGTGTGTCTTGTTAGACGAAGAATGAGAGTCCGGGTGCTTCGGAGCCTCCCAGATGCGACCTAAGGGAGCTGGCAAATGACTGCTTTAGAAACATTGACTGAGCTCTTAAACACTGAGATGGCATTTTTATTAAAGGAAGCAGACTTAAGGGAAAGCAAATAGTTACTTTCTAAATAGTAATGCTTTCTAGTTTCTAGTTTAGCTCTTATGTAATGTGGAGACTCCTGTAAGTTTAAAAAAACTTGTCCTATCATTATTGTAGATTAAAGACTTGGTGTGTTGGTAGATCAGTGGTTCTCAGTTGGAGGAAATCTTGCTTCTCTGAGGACATTTGGCTATGTCTGGACACATTTTTGGTTGCAGTACTTGGCTGGGGGTGCCACAGGCGTCGAGAGGGGCATGAATGGTGCTAAATGTCCTGAATTCACAGGACAATCCTCAAGGTGAAGAATGTTTCTACTTCAAATAGTAATAATGCCAGAGTTGAGAAATTCTGGCACAGACTTGGAATTCCTTACTCATTCCCTCTTTGCCAGCAAAACAGCTGGGTGGAAAGGAAAGCTCCAGTGCTCCAGTGTAACTTATTTACTGTCATGGTAATAATGTCCACATTTCCTTCCTAGTATGCTTATTCAATTGGAAGTCTCATTGTAATTGTTTGAGAATGTAGTAATGGAAGTACTTTGAGTTTATTTTGCTCTTCTCTATACATCTAGTTTAGTAAAATGTGGTAAATATGACTCAGGAATAAGGAAAAAACAGTGGCAAATGATTTGAGTGTTTAAGTGCTCAGTCATTACTCAGCTGCCCAGGTGTAACTCACAGTACATAACCTTGTTGCTGGCCTCATTGTAAACACAATGTAACCATGGCATACTGAGAGCAAGTAGGAGGAACAGTTACTATCCTCTGTGTTGGCCAACATGAAGTGGTTTTTGTGAAGGGATAAACATATAGTGAGTGTATGGAGCCCGAGAACATTTTATGTGCTGAGAATGAACTGTTAGAGCAGAAACAGTTAAAGAGCTATTGGTACAAGTAATTTCAATAATCCAGACCCTAACTACAGCTGTTTTCCAGTAATTTGAAATTTGCAATTTAATTTGTAAAATCTGTCACTGGTGAGCCAGAACTAGAGTACTCTTTATGTTTCTGAAATTACACACAATCTCATGGAATCTAATTTTCTAAAGTATTTTAAGTCGCAGGAAGTAGTAGTTTGAACTTTTCCAGATATATTTGAATAATTCCATTCATTTTGGTATTGGGTCAGCTGTTACTTTTAATGTTGACATATCCTGGCTTAATAGGTAGGATTGATCTTTACTTTTTTCTTTCCAATAGGCTGATAAGCAAATTTATGATTTAGTTTCCATGAATGAATGAATGGTAGCTGGAGGTCTACCCCAAACCGAGGCTATGATACCAAACTTGACTCATTGGAATAATAATTTACTGTATGGCTATACTGAATTTAACACACAAAATCTGCACACCTGTAAAATTCATGGAGGAGAAGAAGCGCATGAGATTCAGTAGTGTACCAGGGAGCTCTGATAGCAAGCATCATGATCTTTGCAGTGGCATCTTGTTTTCAGAAGCACAGAATGTTTGCTTATTGTGAAAAGCAACTTAAAAAATGTTGCCCAGAGGTCCTGTAATGGAAAACTCAAAGTTGGCAGAAAGGCAGGGCTTACTATTAAAGATTTTAATTTTATATGTTTAGTAACTTGACTTAGAAACTAAGTTTTGTATTTAAACCATTGCTGTAACTGATTTGTTTCCAAAAATTTTAAGTGGAGAATTTGAACAGATTGTAAACATGTTTTTTCTTTCCACCCCCTTATCATTCCAATCTGGTTTTTAGCACTTCTTCAGATACATCTGTTTATAATATGATTACAGGGTGGTAGTGCTTTTGAACACAGTATTTCAGTTGTGCAAAGAAATTGTTTTCTTGTGGAGACTTACTCTATCATTATTTAGGGTTTAATATTTTAAATATAAAATGTAATTTTAAATAAACATTGATATTGACCGAAAGTTTAACATATTAAAGTGGGTATAGAAATAAAATATCTTATTTTTACATGGGTTGAGTGCCAAAGGAACAGTGTGGTTGAAAGCAAAATTAGTATTAACATCTTTCCATTGTGAAAATAAAGGAGGCTCAAAATGATTATTTGAAGAGCAGTGTTCTGTAAAGCTTCAGCAGGGTTCTTGATTTTATGGTGCTGCTATAGTCATGTCTTTGGAGTCAAGGTCCCAGTTGGTACCCTGTTTTAACCATCTGCCAAATTAATCTTAAGATATGTATGTATATTTATTTAAAATTTATTCATGTAGGAAAAAATAATTTTGAATTCTTTAATTTGTACTCTTTTCCAATTTAAACTTGGTTGACTTCCTTTTTTACAAGTATATCTTTCAAAGTATATCTTTTAGAGTTTTTAATGTCTTAATCTTTTCTTTAAAGCAAGCTTACTGGTATCTAAACTTAGATCTGCAACTTGAACATGGTGAATTCCATCTCTCAATTCATGTTACTATTTTTAAATGTTCTCTTCTTACCAACTTACTAGAAAACACAACAAAAAACAAAAGGGAAGCTCATTATACTGGATAAATTGCTGTATTCTGCCATTCTTTAGTATTCAGCCATTCATTGATATTACTTATTGGGAAGGGGACGTTAGTTCTTCTGAATATCTGAGGCTCTTTTTAAAGTTAGCAGCAAAAAGCCATAATCAAATTGATAAGTGCTCTTTGCACAGTTTGACTACTTAAAGAATCCTAGCTGCAGAGAAAGGTTGTAGAATTTAAAATAAGTCTGATACTGGGATAAGCCAGAGCAAAATTTAGATTTTATTTGTGTCTGTCTTTTCTCCATTTTGAGTTCTTCTTAATCTATTTCTCAGATATACAAGTTTCTGAATGGTAGCTCTCCTTCCTAATTTCTCCACTCTCTCACATCCAAAAAGCCACAGGGCTTGACTCTGTCTTGGCCTGCTGGGTGTGATTTCATACTGAACCTGGCCATGATCTTATCTTCGAAAGTAACCTCACTGATATTCACTGCTTCCAAGAGTTTCACTTGGTGTTTAATCTGATTAGCTGTCAGTATGAGTCAATTTATGAAAGGATGTCAGTCCTTTGCTTTTGCTAACCAATTGGATTTGTTTTTTAACGAGGAGCTTCAGGGGTTATATCAGAGAGACACAGTTTTGGGGATGATCCTCTTCTGTCTTTCGAATTACTGCTTGTAAGGCTGTCTAGTAAATGACTCCAATAGAATAAATAGTGTAC